GAGCCACCACCTTCTGTGGCTTTCAACACCTTCTCCTAAATATTTGTTGATTTTGAGCTTTCCACAATTACACTGATCGTGTAGTCTCTGGGTTAGGACTCAGGACAGAGATCGGTTATTTGAGCTTGTCACTGGTCTTTTTAAACACACACAATAGGACAGCGGTCATGCAGAAAGACGTGGGAAACCCTCCTGGAGGGAGAGGCTATTTCCCCCATTCACATCTGGAAGATTCATCTATACAGTGGCCGCCAGGAGGCAGCCGAGTCTCCCTCCTCATGGCCCAGAGCCCCCCTGGTTTGTCTTTGGAATCTCCCTGGCTAGTCTTTGGAATCTCCCTGGCTACAGACAGGAAGGGCACTGGAGTGCAAGGCAGGTGGGCTTCATCTGCATCCACCTTCCCTTGATTCCTTCCCTAAGCTGTGTCTTCCTCCCTGGGTCTGTACTGACTCAGGGAGGACTGGGCAGGGAGCAGAGAGCCCCTCTGATGACATAGGGCACCTCTGGTAACTGCATGGATGTTTGGCCACCACGTGGGGCATGGGGCACCAGGAGCAAAAGCTGGGATTCCGGAGTAGGGGGACCTGGGTTCGAATCCAGCTCTGCCACCCAGTAGCTGCCGGGACCCCAGACACATTCCTGCCTCTGGAAGCCATGATGGGCAGAATACTTCCTATGTCATGGGATTGGGGGAAGCTTAAGAGACAGGAGGTTGCATAGCAAGGAACACACAGTAGGTTCTCAAAAAGCGTGCGTTCCCTTCCTGGCACAGGCGATGAATTACAGAGTCAGGAATCTTTATGTGACCAGACAGAAACCACGGGCCCTGAGTCACCGTGCCAGGCTGCTCTGAAATACCTTTAATCTGCAACAGCATCAGCCTCTTGTAGGGCACAGCGCTGTTGTTGGAGTTCTGTTCCGTCAGGTTGACGCTCCGCAGGCTGACGCTGCTGAAGTTTTCTTTACTGGCTAAACCCGCCAGGGTGACTTCTGAGAAGCCGGAGTTGGAAGACACTGGGCGGGTTGAATAAGGAAAGACAACGCAGGAGGTTCAGTTACAGTGACAATATTTGCAGTCAGAAATTATTCATAACTGACTCAACACCTTTGCCTTTTCAAGTTAATCCTGAAAGGGAAAACATAATCAAGTTTGATTAAATCTGCAATTCAGTGCTTAACCACCGGTTAAGAATTAAATACAGCATTGAAAATATAAACTGCTTGTTGACAAGTGTCACACCACGCTGTGCAGAGGGACAGGAATTGAGTGATGATGTGGACCAGCCACTTTAGTACAAAACCAGGAGTCGGATTCACTTGTTGCAATTCCACTGGAAGCTGTTATAAATCCTAACAACTTTTAGATGCCCGAATGTACAGATGCCAGATGACTGTTAGACAGTTTTCACCAAAACCCTTTATATGTTTAAAAAAAAAAAAAAAGTAGGCAGTCTGTAAGGGATGATTAGGTTCTAATCTTTTGCTGAAGCAAAGTGATCAACTAGACGTTATCTTGAGGTCTACGGCTCTCAGAGTTAAGATAGTTAAGATTGTATTTATAAGATGCCGGGTTTTCAGTGCAAACATGTATGGGTCAGTAAGTCATCACTAATCCAACCCCTGAGCCCCCCAAAACCAGAAGCACAGGAAATGCATGTAAGATTTGTGCTAACAAACCTTTATTTCTCCAACTTATTGTTTTTAAAAATGTATATGCTGGAGAGATATTCAGAACATTTTTTACTGGGATTATGTTTGGAGAAATATGACAATATTTGTCAATTAATTGTGGTGCTGTGATTTTGAAATATGCCTTTTTTTTTTTTTTGAGAAAGAATCTGACTCTGTCACCCAGCCTGGAGTGCAGTGCTGTGATTACAGCTTACTACAGCCTTGACTTCCTGGGCTCAAGTGATCCTCCTGCCTCTGCCTCCTGAAGTGCTGGCATTACAGGTGTGAGCCACCACACCCAGCCTGAAATATACTTTCTTAGTAAACTAGTTATAATGAAAAGACTCAACCACTTCATCTAAATACTATATTTCTAAGAAAAACATGAGGAAATAGGTTTATGTTATGGGAAAACGAAAATTATAGCAAGATTATTCCAAAAATCAAGATTATGCATGCTATTACCTCAAACCAAGAAAATCATTGTTTCAGAATGATGGAACCCCACATTACTGGGCAGATGAGAGCAGTGTGGCTCAGCCTACAGTGGGAGTGAGAGCCTGGAGCCCATCTCCTCGCCTCCATTCATTGCCCCTAGCCGACTCCCTCCAGCCCACATCCCAACTCAGAGAAGCTCAGGGTCCTACCAATAACAATTTGAAAAGCACTGGCGTATGTGTTAGTTAATAATATAAAAATCTAGGATTAGAGGCTGGGCATGGTGGCTCACACCTGTAATCCCAGCACTTTGGGAGGCCAAGACAGCTGGATCACGAGGTCAAGAGATCGAGACCATCCTGGCCAACATGGTGAAACCCCGACTCTACTAAAAATACAAAAATTAGCTGGGCGAGGTGGTGTGCGTCTGTAGTCCCAGCTACTCGGGAGGCTGAGGCAGGAGAATTGCTTGAACCTGGGAGGCGGAAGTTGCAGAGAGCCAAGATCGCACCACTGCACTCCAGCCTAGGCAAAAGAGCAAGACTCTGTCTCACAAAAAAAAAAAAAAATCTAGGATTAGAAACACCAGTGATTTGAGGTGTTTTACTGTAAGAGATCAAATGACTTGCTCTTGAATAAGATTAAATGAAGAATGGTTGTGTTCAGGATCTACAGAGCTGAAAATGGCTGAATTACCATACTCAGAAATATCCATCTCTTCTAACTTCCAGAAAGAAAACTCAACAAAACAGGATAATTTGTAACCAGGCACGGTGGCTCGTGCCGGTAATCCCAGCACTTTGGGAGATCAAGGTGGGAGGATTGTTTGAGGCCAGCGAGTTTGAGATGAGCCTGGGAAACAGGATGAGACCCCAGTCTCTTAAAAACAAAAACAAAAACCAAACCCCAGGATAATCTGAATTAACCAGTTGAACAGGTGATACACACTGTGAGAATTTCCCTGAAAAATCTTTAAAGTCTAGGTAAGCGTGCACATGTACGTGCAAACTTACTCCTTTTTACTTCATGAGGGTCTTCTGGCACCGTTATTGGCCTTCACAAGGCAGAAAACCAAGCAATGAATAAATCTTCGGAAAAAACCATTCCCAAGCACAGAAGCAGGGTGGGGGTTCAAATATTCACTCTTTTCTACTTTCATCCGCTTTGACTCCATGAAGGCGACGTTTAATCTCTGCTCGGTGTATTCCTGAAGGAGATCTTCGCTTGCCGCCAGCATTTTCAAGGGATTTTTGGAGGCCTGAACCCGGCGCTTGGGCCTACCTGCGCGCTTGTGCTCGGCCACGGAAGACGTCAATCTGCGGATGGAAGCAGAGCCGCGGTCCCAGTCTGCGACACCACACCGGGATGACCTGTGGGTCTTGGACTACACAGGGTATTTCCTGATTTTGTTATGAGTCTTGCAACTCCTCCTCCCACCACCACTTCCCTGACATGGAGTCGCAGAATCTTGGAGATGGAAGAGGGATGCAAGCCTACTGAGTTCAAATCTCAGCCACGCCCGGACGCCCCTACTCACTCATGCCCCTTGGTCTCTGCCTGGAAGGGTGTGGAGTACTTCCGGGCAGCTCATGGCTCTGCTAGACAGCTCTAAGGGTTAGGAAGCTCTTCCCTCTCCTTACGGCGCCCATGCACGTGTCCTAATTCTCGCTTTGGAATCATACACCCATGTCTACTTGTCTGTCTCCCGCAAGCCCCTAGGGAATTTGCAGACCACGGCTCTTTGATGTAATCCTCTTCGCTCTGACTAAACTTTCTCCCTGTGCAATAGCTTTCAGTCCCCTTACTGTCTCTCCATGACTAACTTCCACTCAACTCACTGCCCCCCTCTGAAAAATAACCACTTTTTGGAAGAATATCTGAAATAAAATGGGCCCGCAACCATCTGTGACCACCCCACATTCTCACAACTCTGGGGTGGAAAACCAGACTTGGAGAGGTGAGCGGACGGAGCGAAGCGATCTCCCAACAGACTCCCGCTGCCACTCTCCACCTCCAGCTGCGCGGGTCTCTGTGCCCGAAAGGCCTCTTTACATACCATGTTGTCATATGTGTGTGTCAACATACATACATGTTTAAATTATGATATACAACTATTTAAACAGTGACATTGGGTGGGTGGAAGATTGCGAAGTGGTTAAATAGCTATGTATGCAAATACCCAAAATACTATTTTGAGGTGGAAAATGGCAAAGGGTTCATTTTTTAAGGTAGGAAATTAAAATATGCAAATTGAAACAAATTGAACAAACTTAAACATGCAAAAAATATCTCGAGAGCAGTTTAAATATATGATAATGGAAGAGATTGTCACTCTGACAATTTCGCAGGAAAGACCCGATGGACGCGGTGGACTGCCGTGGGTGGAGCCTGTCCAGCGTGTCCTCCTCTGCTTCTGTAATAGCATCTGGATTTTCCTTTGGGGAAACCACCTCCCTGCGCCCCCACCGTGGCTCCAGAGGAGACCCAGAGACCCGCCTTTAGCCAGTCGGCATCTTCTATCCCATTGGCCACAGTGACTGGTTTAGGGATGGACACGGGACTCCAGTTGAAGCCAAGAAAATCAAACCTGGAAATTCTGCTGGGACTACTGGGAAGAGAAGCTACCTGTGCTGGGCTGGCCAGGGAGGCAGCCTTGTGACTCCAGAGCTGGGGTGTCCATCTGCCGCCAGGCCACTGCCTGA